AAAAACGTGCAAAGCCGTTTTTGGGTTTTCAAAAGGTTTTGCTCTTTTTGGTAGTTTCAAAACGTTTTGCTCTTCTTTTTGTGGATTTTCGTAAACGTTTGGTAAGAGCAGAAAATTTCAGTGGCACGTTCAATATAAAGTAGTAAGTGCTAACGGAGTCCGGAAAACGAACTGGAGGTTTGAGCTTCCTACCGCGTCGATTGAGTGTAGGGTGAGTAGGAGTGCTGTCGGTTGAGGTTGTCGGTTCTGCTGGAGCGAACCGACTCGTCTGAGGTTGCGGTGCGAGCTGTGATGGCACAGGCTGTGAAGGTGCTTGCTACACCGAAGAGTCAGACTTGTCGATGAATGCTGGCTTGAGTAGATCGACGTTGATCGTCTCAGTCTTACCATTGTAGTCAATGGTAAACATCTTGTCGCTTCTGCGTACGACACGGTACGGACCAGAATAAGGAGGTTGGAGTGGCCGGCGTACGCTGTCAGTGCAATCGAATACGTGCGTGCAAGTAGTTAAGCGTTCGTCCACGTTGGTACGCAAGCTGTGTGCTCTGGGTTGCACAGGCTGAAGCTGTCGCATGTGATGAGATAGGCGAGCTGCCTAGTCGCCGTAGTCGAAGCTTGTTGGCGCTTTTGATGAGTCGAGTTCACCAGGTAAGCGTTGTGTTCATCCAAAGACTAGCGACGATGGATTGGCGTGCAAATCCGCTTTAATCGTGTTTCTTATGCCTAAGAGAACGAGCGGAAGTGCTTCGTGCGAGGATGTGCTAGATTTGGCACAGAGTGATGCTTTGAGTTGTCGGTGGAACCTTTCTGCCATCCCATTAGCTGCGCTATGGTATGCGGTGGTTCGGTTGTGTTGGCAACCAAGAACGTTTGGAAGTTTGCTGAAGGATCCGTCAAAGTGTGATCCTCTGTCAGTGATCACGACACTTGGCCAACCAGCTTGAGCTACCCGGCAGTCTATGAAGGCTTGTGCAGCTGTCTCAGATGAGCAGTTGCCTATCGGCATCGATTCTGGCCAACATGTGAATCGGTCGACACGAGTGAGGAGGTACACGTTGCCTTTGCATGGAGGCGGAGGTCCGACCAGGTCGATATGGTCGTGTGCAAAACGAGAGTCGGGAGCGGGAAAGACGTCAAGTGGGCAAGATGGTTGTCCGAATCCTGCTCAACCGCCTCGTCAGTCAGGTTGTGGAACCTAACCTGGCGGAAGAGCAGTGTGGATTCGGTTCGGGTCGCAGCACTATAGATATGGTGTTTGCGGCTTGTCAGTTGCAGAAGAAGTGCAGAGAACGACACCAGCCTTTGTACTCGCTTTTTGTTGATTTCACCAAGGCATTTGATACGGTGAACTGCGAGGCACTGTGGTTGGTGTTGGGTAAGTTTGGTTGCCCGCGTAAGTTTGTAAGTTTAATTGAATGTCTACACAGTGATATGCGAGCGATGGTGCAGCTGAGTGGAAAGACCTCGGATGACTTTGCAGTTGTCTCTGGTGTGAAGCAAGGCTGTGTATTAGCTCATGCCCTGTTTAATATTTATCTTCATGCAATGTCTTATGCTTTTGATGCCGCTTGTACTTACGGTGCTCGTGTTCAACCCCGTATTGATGGTGGGTTGCTGAACATCCGTCGTCTCGGTGCGAGAACCCTAGTCCGTGAGACAACTATCCGTATGGTGCCGTTTGCTGACGACTGTGCGTTGTTTTCACACAGCGCGGATGAGTTGCAGCACATGACTAGTGCTCTGGCTTCGACAGCGGCCAAATCCGGGTTCACTATCAACACAAGCAAAACTGTCTGTCTCTTTCGGCCTTCACTGGATGTGCAGTCTTTAATATTGCCGCGAATCAGCATTGGTGCTTAAGTATTGGAAACCACCTCCCTCTTCTGCCACCCTGGGAGTGTGATGTCGACTGACCAGCAGCTACACGTTGAGTTGCGTATTCGCGTGTCGAAGGCAGCGGCGGCATTCGGGAAGCTTGAGTACCGAGTGTGGAACAACCATCAGCTTACCATTGGCACGAAGCTGATGGTGTACAAATCCATGGTGCTGTCCGTTCTTTGGCAGTGAAACGTGGGCGATGTACCGGCGGGATGTGCGATATCTCGAGCGGTCCCATCAGCAGTGTTTGCGACGGATTTTGCGCATCGGTTGAGGCGACAGAGTTGTTGACACGGAGGTGTTGCGACCAAGTCGAATGTATGCAGTGGACTGCATACTTTTGCTGAGACACCTGAGGTGGCTCGGTCGTGTGAACAGTATGGATTCGACGCGGATACCGAAACAACTATTATATGGTCAACTGAGTATTGGGAAGCAGCATGTGGGGAAACCAAAGTTACGTTACCAGGACATGATCAAAGCGATGCGGATTTTTATCGGTTCTCCGAGCTGAGTGATTATTGTGCAGACGTTTCGTTGCTTGACTAGGCAACATCAGTGCGGCTTCAGAGGCCTGGTTCTCAGTGCCCCGTAAGCGATTTCAGTATCCAAGTCGCTTACGAGGCACTGCGAACCAGGCCCCTGAAGCCGCACTGATGATGTTGCCTAGTCAGGTAACGAAACGTCTGCACAATAATCATTCAGCTCGGAGAACCCCTCAAAATCCGCATCCACACCCCGAGCTACGGATATTCTCATTTATTTCAAATGATCAAAGTAAGCATCTCACGTTCTAATCTTGATTGCAAGTCATGGAAATCGAAAGCGCTTGATCGGCGTGCATGGCGCGATCTAATCACGAAGGCAGTTGCCGAAGTGCGGGAGAAAGAGCTCATACATGCAGAGAAGAAGCGGAAAGTGCGGAAGCGACAAGCACCGATGGGTTGTACTCCATCGACATCGAGCGCATGGTGCTGTAGCACATGCGGTCGCGAGTGCCTGAGTCAGGCAGGCCTAGTGAGCCATGAGCGAGGCAACTCGGAACCACTACCGAAGCGACGACGGGTCCTGCAGAGAAGGTAGGCAGAACCGGTGCGGCGTTTGTAGGCACGTTGCACTCGATTTACTAGCCGCGTACTTGCATGCTAAGTCACTTTATTTCAGGTGGTGGATTTTGCAATGTTGTCCTAATGCTTTTCTTTCTAATAGAAATGTCTACCTCTACTCTCTTCTATAAACTTGCACACATCACTTAAGCCGATTGTAGTTACTTTCGATAACATTTCCGTGTTGGTGGCCTTTCCGTAAAATATACTTTTTGACCTCGTGAACTTATCTCGTATTCTTTTGTAAACAACTTATTTCATATGCTCATTAAGTTAAGATTTATGTCACCGTATTTTATGCATTACTCGGTTTATTTTCTTTGTTGTCTTTCGCTCAAGTGATTTGCTTTTGTTTGATATCTCCGGTGTGGCTGCGCTTGATGTGCATGTTGACAAGGTGCCTACCTGTCTATCACCCACTACCTCGTCCATACTGGCTACAGGAGACGGTTTTTGCTGGAGGGGACGTGGCCGTGCCAGGCTCGAAGAGTGGTTCCATGCCCTCAGTGTGGAGCGGACTACAGTCCAGCCACCGCCTTGTGTGCACTTGATTCCCCAAATACAGCATGCTTGTGTTTGCCTTTGAAAGAGTGTGGGCCGGCTCCGTTGATGAGATGTGGCTCCCATCCACATGCTTGCTAGTCTTATTCCTTCGGGTTTACACTGGATATGGGGTGTGGTTGGAGCTGTGGGTGGTGCAGCGCAAGCCACCTATGGTCCCACTGTAGGCGCAGGCGTGCTGTGGCTGGCCACAGTGACAGGCAAATCCGAAACCGGATGCCGCTAACCATTTAAAAACCAGGTCATGGTTCACAACTCATCAGCGTCTTCGATTGGCACCTCCCCTAAGGTAAGAATTCTGCTCTTTCTCCGCAGCTGGACTTTAAGGTATAAGAGTCACTCTTCACTATCTTACCCATTTGACATTGCCATTGCTTGATCCGCAAGAAATGCCACAAATTTTCGCATAGTAACTTGAATCCGCCAAGTTTAATATTCATCTGATTGTTGTGAATACGTTGTAAAGTTTTTGCCTGCTTTTTAGTTCATCGTGTTCTTGGAACTATCCGTAGTTAGTAACTGCTTCCTGTGCTCAGAAGTGAGTCTCAACTGCTTTGGTCCTTCTAGATTGTTAGACAATGTATGGCCTTGGGAGCCACCTGGCTTCTGTCTCATAGGTACCAGACCTGCTACGGAAGTTCCTACTTGGAGCTGCATCTTCTACTATGTCAGCCATCTTTCAGCCTTGTGTCTATTAATAATGCTTATGTACCCAAATACAAATGCGAGCATCGGGGCTTTTGGGTTTCCAATGATATACTCTGGAAATACAGCTTCTGCGTTATTGTAATGTTGTTGCCACAAAGCCTGGTGAGAGATACTGTCTCATACAAAGATGAAAACAGGTTTGCGTTGAACTCAAATTTTACACAAGATATTTTCTACATTGAGCTGACACCATGTAAGTCAGTCGAAAATTTTCAATAACAGTTGGCTAGAACTAGTAAACCACGGGCGCGGATCAGTACATTGTTCCTGCAAAACAACCAGACCCAGTAATTTATGTCTATTCTAAGGCACGGGTTGAACTTGTCCACATATGTTATTGGACGCGATGAACAAGATCAGATTTCATGCAACTTCTCTTCCGAAGCATCCATGGGAGTTGATAATGTTGCTCAAAGGGCAATCGAAATGGTCTGGTGAGCGCCTGTTTGAAAGCAGTGTTTCACACATTTTGATTACATGTCCACTCTGCCTGTACACTTAGGGTAATTTGCGTGTTCGCCTATGAATTCAGCAAATCGTTTGCCATACAATACTGTTCTGTGCGTACGCACTGCCTCTTAGGTCATATTTAATTCCGCTAACTGACAGAGTATTGTGGAAGTCCACCGTTTTTACGTCACGTTTTTTTCCAAAAGTTGGTTCAAGCTCTCTTTTTGCTATTTAGCTGCTTGCGACACATGTTGCGTCTTTACTTATTTCCTGTTAACTTTCCTTTTCGTTACACAGGTTCTTGCGTTGGGTCAAGATTTGTACAATTTGGTCGTTGAACATCTGAAACTAGTGGAATATGACTACTTCGATTTGGAGTATATTAACAAGGACGGCCATACGGTGGGTTTGGATAACGTGTTTGATTGTATGTTGCCGAACAACCTACACCTAATCAGCCAGGGTATATGTTGGGTTATCGCATACCGAATTTATAGGGAATAAAACTGGGCCACTTAGTTTAGAATATCATGTGCTCTAGTTGTACCTGGTTGGTGGCTTCCTGAGCGGAGCTGACCACGGCCATCCGAGCTCGTTCCGACATGGTTTGCAGTTCGCATGGAGACTAGAAACCCCCTGTTCTGTTATTTGTTTCGTTCTTGTTTCGCTCCAAGAAATCAAACTTGAGGTGACGACTTCGCCTAGTTGAATGGGAATGTCCATTTTGCGTAGAGTTAACCCCCATCGCCCGTGGATCCCTGTGACCGTTCAAATGGATGGGACAGTCACAGGATGCAATTTGTAACTTTAACGGCTGTCTAACGAAAGTAAACAATTTCTGTTGTAAATTCTTGGAAGATACTTGCAACCGATCGAGTAGTCATGAGTTCAGAGAGGTTTGGAAGCAATCGGTTGGTATAGTAGTTTGGTAACGTTTCGCCCTCGACACAAACCAGGTGAATCAGTGTGCAATTGGTGTGGGATTTTATAGCGAACAGGGGCGATAACCGCGCTACCCGAGACTTGAGCTATGATTTCATTACAGTAACAGGTGGTGATGTCACCTCAGGTGGTACAATCACAGTGGGAATAGTCAAGATGTTCCTTTGTGCGTCATGACATTGACAGATAAGCCCATAGTGTTGACAATGGGAGTCGGTTTGCACTTTCCAATCTGATCCACGCACCAATGCTCGTCAAGCATTAGGGAGTTCTACCCCTTCCATTCTATTCACCCAGTCGTCAGATTTGGCAGTTTCCACCACCTCGGCAATCAACCGCTGAGGGGTTGGTCGTATACCCCTCCTAATGACCTCTACGTTTTCGAGGTGTCTAATGCATGCAAAGCTACGGCCGAGTCTTTGATTATTGCCTGGTATTCAGACTCGTTTCTTGATAGTCTTGAAATGCGCCTCCTATGCTCTGAAATTCGTATGCGTAATCCTCTCGCTGTTTGGCCCATATTCACATGTGAACAGTGTTTACATTTAATTTTATAAACACAGTCAGTCGTCCTATCCTTGGGAATGGGGTCCTTCAGGTGTACCAGAGCCGAACGTAACGTTCGACCTCGCCGAAAGATCACCCTTATATTTTCCTTCTTTAGTACCCTCCGAATTGCCTCCGAAGTGCCTTCCTTGTACGGAATTTCGACCGTCCGTATCCACTCGGCTGGGGGTCTTGACTGCCGGTGTAGCACTTTATGCAATTGGCGTTTGACTAGCCGCCGTGGGTAACCACTTTCTAATAGTTTGCTCATTGCCACTTTCCGCGCAGCATTTTTGTCCTCCTCCATCGTGCACAAGGTTTGTGCCCTGTAGAACAGCGCTGAGGCTATCCCAGCACAAACCTGGTCCGGATGACCCGAAGTGTAGTGGAGTACGCCGTCAGTATCCGTTGGCTTGCGATATATTGTCTTCTTTAAATTTCCCCCATTTCTGTGAACCAGGTAGTCAAGAAATGGTATTGTGCCGCTACAAGATTCCAACTCAATAGTAAACTGTATTCTCCCATCAATGAAGTTTAAGTGATCAAGTAACTCGTCCATCTTATCCCGTTTAACAAGTACATAGGTGTCGTCTACATAATGCCACCAAACTTTTGGTGAGTTAATGGTGTTTGTTAACGCGCGGTTCTCGAAGTCTTCCATATACAGGTTCGCCAGTACAGGGGATATTGGCGATCCCGTGGCGAGACCTTGTTCCTGACTGTAAAGCTTCGACTGAAAAACGAAGTAAGACTTATTAAGACACACTGTCATGCCCTCGCTTATCTGGCTAACTGTTAGTTTCGTTCGATCATTCAGAGTGACATCTTCATTTAGACGACGTCTCGCTATTCCTAGCGCCTCTTCTTTGGGTACATTTGTGAAAAGCGATGTGACATCGAAGCTGACCATCAACTCATCTGACTCAATTTTAAGACGCTACCTTTTGAGCGAAGTCATAAGAGTTTTTCACGAATGCACTCCTTCGCCCTGTTAGAGGCCGCAATAGCCTTGCCAAATATCTCGCGTTCATGGGTCGGGGAGCCTATACCGTCGACTATGAGCCGTACGGGAACTTCGGATTTGTGCACTTTTGGCAAGTCATAAACCCTCGGAGGTAAAGTCGATTTCGGGTATAGGCTGTACCACTTGCCTGCGCCTAAATCTTCCTTCATGGTTCTTAAATGTCACAAACCTCCATTTTACTCTTGTTCATTACTGACGCCACTGTCTTATCAACGACTACTCTATATGGACTCGTCTCCAAATGTTGTCCCATTTTTTCCAAGTATTCTGACCTATTCACTACAACCAGGGTTTTTCCCTTATCAGCCTTGTAAGTACAATGCTACGATCTTCCTTCAAGGAGTTTAATACGATACGTTCAGTTTGCGGAAGATTTGGCTCACCCGGTTGCTGAAACTTAATGATAGTTACTAACTATGCCCGAATATTCGCTGCCTTCGTAGCGGGCAACTTTGCCGCCGCGCTGTCAATGCTTGGGATAATCTCTTCCGCATATATCTTACATTTATTGATGGTAAATGTCAAACCTTTCTCCAACAATCTACATTCCGTTTCATTCAAAACCCTATCTGACATTATCTACATTACAATAGGTACTAATAGACTCGGAACTGTCAGTAGGACCGGTAGCATTAGGATGCACGGACATTTCTGTTGTAATTCTGGCGCACTGGTGGCGCTGGTCTGGAGCCTCAGTGCATTGACCGCTCCCTCACGAAACAGTTACAGCGGAACAAGGTAGCGTTAATTTACCAAGCATAACAAAGCGACTGCTTTAAGTTGGTAGCCATTCTACTGGCAGGAGGTACAGTAACATTTTTCGCCTTAAGAGCGTATTATTGTCCCTTTTCCGCAAGACTTTCCGTGCTGTCAATCGCCTAGCGATCCATTTAACGCACAGTTGGTTCACATTACCTTGATTTAAATGCACCAGAATTTTGTGGTAAAACGCTAATGACTAACTGGTTGTATCAGCGATGCCTATCATGGATACCACAGATTTAACGGCAACACCAGCTGAATTGGGGATTCAGAGAAATACTGCAACTCGAGGAAATTAGTTCTCAGGGCATTTTGATCGATTATCGCCCTTTGTCCGTTCCTGTTGTTGTTGTTGTTGTTGTTGTTGTTGTTGTTGTTGTTGTTGTTGTTGTTGTTGTTGTTGTTGTTGTTGTTGTTGTTGTTGTTGTTGTTGTGAATAGAATTCAAGGGAGTACCGTAGACAGAGCTCAGCCTGCTCGATATTCAGCAGGCAACTAAATTTACCCGCAGCCGTCATAGCGAGTACTGTACGACAGCTGCTCCCCAGGGAATTTCTAGTATGCGATTCTAACAGTTCACCCCACCAACTAGCTGCGTTACCAAGTGAAGTTCAGATATACGCGGCTTCAAATACTCTTCAGCCCCTTTCTAACCCACTGCATCAAGCACTCTCATTACTCCCAAAATGCAAGCCTCCCTGGGAATTGATACTGTCACATTTTTCTTTTTAAGTTTTTCAGCCCCCAAATTAGTCCCTTCCAGCGCACATTGTCTCCAGCAACAATCACGGAGTGGCTGCATGTTCTAGTTCTTCAAAGCTGAGTTTCACCAACTATAGTTTAAGAACCAAGACCCGGCGGATCCAGTCACTTTGTTCTACCTCCACAATGCAAATGGTGAACGATAAGAGTAGGGGAACCGAAGATAAAATCGTGTACCAACAATGAGCTTAAGTTCAAGGAAAAAGAGATTTAAATAATACCTAACTCGGGAGATACAAAAGTTAGTGTCCAGAAGCAATGCACCGGACACCATAGTGTTATTCACATCTCAATCACATCATGTTTGTTATGGTCATTTTGGCTAATCTAGAAGAACACGATGTTTGTCGTTACCTTACTCGAGAAGCTCACACACTTCATTTACCTATATTTATCGTCTTGGTGAGACGAGCCCAGGCCTGCGGTACTTTGCTTTCAAACAACATTGGGTTATATGTGCGACATCGTGATTGACATTCTGGGCGAAAACGATGGTTATCCCATTCCCTATAGTCGGGTGAATTTTTCCCTCACATTGCCTACCAAAAGAGAGATGAACCAAATAAATCTTACCGAAAGTTCACTAGACTGCTCCAAACTCATCCATCAGTCCATCGGATGTGATTAAATCTGTGTGCAGATGTCGCCACTGTCCTACCCCAATAGCCTCTATGTGGCTAAGTTAATTAGCCGACAGAGAGATCATATCAGTCCGTTGGTAGGCATCAGGCTACATACGTCAAGCTCAAAAAGCTAAGCGCGATCTCTTGTGCAATCGAATTGTCGTTGTGTGTAGCTGTATCTGTCTGCCGCTGTTTGTGCCACATTAGGAGGCGTGGCAACTCCGATGTGATGCTTCGAGAAGGATGTATAAAAAGGAACACATTCCTGTGCTGCCTAGCCAAGAGTGCGAAACTACCTTCGGTTTTTCCTCAACTGCCTTACCATGCTTTTTTGAGTGCTATCAAACGAAGGTTGTCTCCTTATCGGCGCTATTTTTCTTGGTCTTCAGTCTGTGATCCTCCGAACAAATTGTACTAAAATAAGCCATTTTCTGTTATACTCAAATTGATAATGCAAACTGCATCGTTTGCTGAGATAGGGAGATTTAAGTAAGCCAGACTTGGAGGGCTGATCGTTTAGCTTAAGAATGACAAACTTATCATTATGAAAGCTAAGTTACAGGTATTTATGGTCTCCAGCCGTCCACAGGATGGCTATCTCCATTGGTTTGAGGATTTCCGATTAACGACTCTACGAGATCTTGACGGCCTGAAAGAAGACGACATTATTACAGGGGTCTCAAACTCATTTAGATACTGCTGTTGCCGGACATTTCCCTTTGTATGAGACAGAAACTGGTAGCC